ACCTGAAAATGGTGCGAGAGGGGTAGGTGTCAGCTGAGCAACTGGAGAAACAGCCCTGTTTTCAGAATTTATACATAAAATATTCAAAATAAATGATAAATATGACAAATTCAGCAGACTCAAACATGTAGAGGACAAGATAAGCAAACAGATGACACAAACAGAAGTTACTCACAGGAGCTTTAAACGTAGAAAGTTTAAAAGTCTGAAGTGTTCTCAAGTCGAAAAAGAAAAACTCATACTGTCACTCCAGATCAGCTTTGCTTTATTACAAACCATTACACAAATTATTTCCCCATATTTTATGAACAAGCAGCATCTCTGAGAAGCCGCTCCACTAGAGAGCAGTGAGGTGTGAGGGGGAGTGTGTGAGTTGTTTGGGTCATTAACACTTGCAAAGGCATCAGTTTGACACTAAATACAGAGGAAACCCTGAAACACACACACTGCACGCAGACATACAGGCCAGGTGCCAGGCCACATGTTAAAACACTTTTTCCCCCACTAATGTAACCTCTGCACCTATAAGACAGGGGCCTGTCAGGGAGCACATGCCAGGGTAATGCCCCTGTGACCCGTGTCCACACACACACTTGTGGCCATACTGCAAGCAGCATGCTTAACATGCACTCATGGACAGAGCAACAAGCAAATCCACGAAGGCTTCTGCGGCTGTCAGCACTCTTGTGATCTAATGCTCTAAACTTCTGATCCCGTCTGAGGAGGATCTTAAAGTCTTTGCCAGTATTTAAAAATAACTTGTTGATGTCTACAGCAGCAGAGGTGTGTTTGAGATATGAGAGAAAAAAAGACAAATCAGGTTTGACTAAGCCGTGTATGCCTTCTTGATAGGGCAATCGGTGAGCTCTTAATAAGTGTATAACTGCCCTTGCTTTGCACATTATAACTCAGTGTAATTTAATTTCAGCCACAGCTGGTTTCACTTTGGACTTAACAGCTGAACTCAGTCCCGTCTCATAATCTAACCTGATAAATAACCAGCTTTTATTGAGTTTGCAGAGAAAATAGCGCTCAATATAAACCTTCGTAAGAGACTCACAGAGCAAAATAAAAGGGAGGCTGGAGGGCACAGAGCTGGCTGGTCAAAGGGTTGTGTGTAGTCGTCTGTACATGTGTGTGTGTGTGTGATCAAGTGTATGACAACTGTTATTAGGAGATAGTTGACGTAAGTGTGCGTTAGTGTGTGTGTGCGTCTTCGTCTGTGTGTGTGTGTTAATCTAATGAAGGCAGAGTATATTTACTCTTGCCGACTCTCTGCCGGGCTTCTCTCCTGTTTCAGGATGCCATTTCACATGATTGGAAACAAATGACTTCTGGGTCAAATTTCTCTCCCTTTACTGCCCGTCAATCAGGCTGGAACAGCCCAGAAACTTCCCTCCTCTTGTTATTACAAAGTCAAATCAGCACAGTTTCCATGTTATCTCAGCCACCACCTCCAGGAGGATTATGCTGACAGATTGTCAAGCAAATTAACAACACACCAGGACAGACAGCGTGGTTAATCATTGACAGCCTGATAACAGGCTCGCTCAACACCGGCTTTCAACCTACTTTGGGCTCTAACTAGTTTTTTAAATCAAAGTAACTTTGATGAGACAAGGAGACAGTAAAACCCTGTATGCGTGATCTCTTCATGACCTAAAAACAAATAAAATCACATAGAGATTTAAATTTTAAAATCTTATTTTGAAAATCTTAAGAAAAACACAACTAACTTAAGAGAGTCTTATTCATCATTGACAAAGCCAGCAGGTCATTTGTGTGTTGTGCCACCTTGGAAAGCAGTCATTAAGGGTGGACTATTACGATTATGAGGTTTACATTTGGTCTAATATTGGCTGATTGTATATCCATGTTTTATTTTACAGATGTCTAATAAAATTAATCAAGTCAAAGGTGTGCTAATTTGGCTCTGCTGCTTTTGTCTTCCTCTCTGGGTCTGCTACACTCTTCATGCTGCCACTTCACACTGTGTGTCCCGACTGAAACACGATATATGATGATTTAACATCAGCTGAAGATAAAGTTTTAACAATTTTTCTGTTAGAGTTTTTTTTATATTCCACTCGATCAACACTCACACACAAATCAGTCTCATGAACCACTAATAATCAGTATCGGTATCAGCCCTGACAAAACAATATAAGTTGACCCCTGGCAGCCATTACTTCAATAGCAGTTTAGCTGTACCATCTGACTGTGACATTAAAAAGTTTAGACGGGGACCTCAATCTGATGATTTTGTCATCATCTAGAGTTACATGTTCGACATCAGTTACAACAATCTTAGTGGTAAAATGGAGAAACATGTTGATTATATCCACTACATATTTGTGCACAAGTGCTTTTTAATTTTACATTATTCTACAAATCTAGCCAGGCTGCATTAATCATTTTATAACTGCATCTAATCATCACAGATTAGCTGCGTCAGCGAATACTTGTCTTAAAATAAATACTCATTAGTTACGCATTTTCTGTATTTCTTTATTCACCACCACAAATGGACTGTAATGATTAGATGAACGAGCTGGGAGATGAATGTGATTTGCTAAAAAAAAAAAAAATTACTAATGATTAATTTTCCTGATCCACATTTGATAAATATGTTAGTCTTATATGTGAGTACGCTCTCATACAGGGGGGACTTTTTCTGAAGCTAAGTCAAAGTTTAAGTTGTCAACTCTACAGGTTCCTCCACAGGCTACCTACACCGTTGGCTAAAGTAAGTAACAAAGAAAGTGATGGCGAAAAAGGAAAACTGATCTCCTCTGAGAACAAATGAAACTCAAACGCCAACGTAATAAAGTTTGTAAACTCACAGTACTTTCTTGGATTGGTCTGTAGTTCGTCTCATCTAAACACTGAGATTACTGTAAGCCAATGTTATTATACTCATGTAAAGCTAATGCAGATAACCACTCAGCAGAAAACTGGACACATGAGGACACAGCTAGCTTGGTTGTTGAAATCTGCATGTAGTGTCTTGTTTGTTAAAACCAAAGTTAGTCAGGTGTTTAAGTGCAACAACGGCTACAATTACCCAGCCTAAATTTTGACACTTTTGAAGTATTTATTTAAACACACATGAGATTTAGAGTGCTTTTGGGATGTTAGGTGCAATTTGTTTCCTTTGGACAGAGCAGGCTAGTTTTTTGATGGCTAGTTTTCATGTTAAATTAAGTTAGCTGTGGCTGTATTTTAACAGGCACAAATGAAAGTGTTTTACAACTTAAAAAGCAAAAGAATCTACTCACTAGTTTGCTAAACAATTAGTTTTACCAGAAATAAACCATTTCAGTTAATAATTGATGTAATCCTGAAGTATTTCGACACAGGTACAGGTGCTCTGTAATGTGTGTCTCTGTATCCCTGCTCTGGGGAGTGGCAGGTGCAGAGTTCAGCTCTCGTGGTATGAAAGCAATTTGTCTAATTGAAAGATCAGGAATTAGTCAGGAGTTTAAAATGATTGTCCTACACACCCAAACATGGAAATGACTGACAGTATCAAATAACCAGCTCAGATTATGTCGGTCTGCAGACAAAGGGCAGGCTGTCTGATAGCAACGCACCTGACCGCGCGCTGAATCGCGGGCCATCCCCTGCTTAGGTTCCTCAATTAACTCCTTCCTGCTATTTCCCCGTCCAGCACACATTAGCTCGCTGCCATGCTTGGCCATGACAACTAAATTGCTGTTTGGTTACGACCGTTTGTCGGGAAACAGGCCATTTCCCCCGCTTTGCCTAAACCGCTGTTCGCTCTGCAGAGAGAGAGGGAGGGAGGGATGGTGCGGGCTTTGAGCCTTAACTGAAGGCAGGAATTATCACATCAGCGGCTGAACGGGCGTGCCCCCTTTGGTACGGACAAAAAAACACAGCATTATGTTGGCCCACAGTGGTTAGAGGTTTTCATTCGGCGTACTAGAGTTCACTTTTCAGAAAGCTTTCCACATGTCTGCTGAAGACAAGCCTCCACGGCAGTATTGATTTACTGTTGATCCTGGAACAATGTTACAACAATGACCATAATAATGATGGCACTGCTGCATGAGCACATTTTACCGATCACTCAGCCTTACCCTGACCGTGTTAAAGACCAGCCTTCTGAAGGCCATTATAGAATAACCCTTCCACCCCTGTGCGTCTCTGATTAGGCCTGTTACTGCTAATAAAATACAGGAATGAGAGCCGTCTGAAAGCTGGCAGCTGTTGATCCTCCCTGAAAATCACTGAGAGACCTGATGAGCTCATGTTATCAGAGCGGGGTGGCCAGACCTGACTCTGACATTTAGCTCACTTTGGATCTCAAAGTACACAAGACATGCTTTTGTTTCATATAACGTGAGCCCAATGAAATAGCTGCCGTGAACTGGGGGATTAAATTTCATCCAATGGCACATCGGCACATTTGTTGTTTGTTTTATTTAAAATTCATGTGAATCCATCTGAAAAACACAGAAAAGTTTCTTCTGTTACTTAAAATAGTATAAAATACATTTAAAATGTTGGTTTGTGATCTGAACAATAAGTTTGAAATGACATGAGTCTGTTCTTCTGTTTGATTTCTCATCATGTTCATGCTCTTTAATATTTTCACCGCATTAGTCCAGTCTTAGTGCTCTTTGGTAAAAGCATTGCAGTATTTATATACTTATAAAGAGGCTCTGCCCTGCGGTAAAGAAATAGTATTTTCAGTCCCAATAAAAAAATGGACATCCTGCCTACCTCTCTGCTCACTCCAATCTCTGGCCTTTTTGGATCTGAGTGTGCTCAGTGAGAAGAAGCAGCTCAGGATCTGCTTCAAGATGAGTTTTTGTGCTCGGAAATCCAACACAGTGTATAAAACTGTTTTTAAATACAAAACATCCCCCACTGGCACAGTCTTCATTGCTCCCTTGAGGCTTGCTCAAATGTTTTGTTGCAATAAGCTTTGGCTTGTTACACTCAATGGGCCAGAGCCTGGAAGTGTGGTCCAGCTGTCAGAGGCAGTGGTTGGTGGTCGGGTGCCACTGAGACTGGCGCAGTAGACAGTCTGTGGTGTCCTCAGCTAGTTTGGCGTGCCGGGAAACAGCAGTGAGTTGGGGGTTTAGGGGGAGGCTGTAGCGGTAGAGACAGTAGGGGCCCGCAGTGTCAGAGAGATGGGGAAGCAGAGTTGGCCCCTGAGGGCTGAGGGGGCCATGGAGGGGGAAGAGACAGTGGGACCCCCCGGCAGAGACGTGAAGACATGGTTCCCTACAGTGAGGAGGTTTCTTTGCCTGCAGCGCTGAGAGGAGAGGGAGGTCTGTCAGTGGAGACAGCGGGGGGAGGCCTCTCAGTCTGTCGGCTCCCAGGGCGGAGAAGGCTCTGCCGGGCAGTGGGGAGGCCGGTGAGGTGGTGGAGGCTTTGCTGTAGAAAGGAAAGGTGAGTGTGTGGAGAGCAGCGTCCTGGCAGGAGAGCGCAGACACTGAGAACGGGTGAAGGGATGAGGATGAGGAGAGAGGGAGGAGACTCTTCACACTGCTGGATGGCGACCCTGAGCTCCCTGTCAAAGAAAAGGATCGTAAACCTTAATCCCAAAGACAAAAACGGCTCGAGGCAGAGAAGTATTAAGTATTGCAGCTCAGTACCTTGGAGCTGTATGGTAAATGGCTTTAAGTCCAAACTGAGGGGGCCTCTCCAGGGATACGACTCCAACAAGCCATCCAATACTCCCCTACACACACAAACACATCCACACCTACTGTAAAAACACTGAAAAATGTTATTCCAGTTATTAAATATTGGTTATGATAGGTGTGAAATTCTGCACTTCACTCCTCAACTTCATATGAAGGTTTTATGTGGTGTCAAATGTTGGTGGTTGAACCTTAAATCCCTCTTGGGTCCTTTTCTGGAAGACTCTCTGCTGTAAAACAAGTGTGTGTGTACGCCGTGGTGAGGTTTTCCGTACCTGTTTCTTCCAGGATCTCTGAAGCCCTTAGCGAACGGGTTCCTGTCGATCTTCAGTTTTGTGATCTAGCCCCGAAGAGAAAGACAGACATGGGTTAGCGTGTTTGTGTCAGCCACTGATGTGAAAGCTAACAATGAGCTCAGCTTTACAACAGCGTGGAAAGCGGCAGAGCTTCCCCTCAGGGACTGCATCTCCCAGCAGCACCCGGGGCAGTCAGCCATGTCAAACAGGGTTCTTGGAGGTCGAGTCGTTTTATTTGGGGCTTTAATAGGCTGTGGACTCCAGCAGTCGCCCAGTCACAGCTCGTTACTGAGTTTCTGTAATAATATGTGGTGTGATCGTAAAAAGGAGCCCTGATGAAAAGAGCTGGCAGTCCCTGAGGACGGCTCTGTTACTGGAGGAATGGGAGCCAACGGTGGGGTCAGCTCCCCCCGCACACACACACACACACATACTGAGCAACGAACAACTGGCCTGAGAGAAAATCAGGACGCTGCAGTTTATGATTTGTGGTGACCACAGAGAAGAGGGCCTCAGCACCTTCATGCTGTTCAGATTACAGTATTTTACCTGTTGTTCAGACCAAGTGAGGAAAACTACTGAGTGTCTGACCGGGGGCAACTGAAGGACTTGGTGCACAGGACCTCTGTTTTCAGGGCCACTCAGGGTACCACGGCTATCAGCTCATGTAGGAAAGAGCTCTTTGAGAACGTCTCTGAACATGGATCAGAATTTAATGACTTGATACACAACCACACACACACAAAATAAAAATATTAAATCATATATGTGAGTTTTTAATACCGTATTATGAAAAAAATAAAAGTTGTTGTGTTCATATTAAATTAATAAATTTCCACTTTGGTCAACATAGTTAGCTGGAAGTCTAATCCAGAGATGTTGACTTTGTTTTTGAGTGTTTTACCGCCCTCCAGGACTTTACGGTTTGAGTGAGCGTTACCTGTTGATTCTGATAGGCGGTGACTGTGGTGAACTCGGTCTCAGGGAAAGAGAAGCTGTGCACTCCTTCAGCAGGCAGAGACTGAATCTGTGACAGGTCTATGCGAGGGTCATGTCGGATGACGTGCACGCGTGGTTTATATTTGTGCATGGACTGAAGAATTATCTGAACGAGGAGATGGAGAAGAAATGTTACAGCAAAATTTAGTCTCAGCAAGTCCTCCTTTGACTGTGAAAACAGAGCTGCAGATGAAGTTAAGTATATCTCAACATTATCTTTCATTTAACGATGCACAGTTTAGCTTTCATGTTTGACAAAAGCAGATGTCAGACAACAGTAAAAGATTAGGAAAAGCAAACAAAAAGAGAGCTGAAGCACTCATGAGGGCAAACGTTTGCCCTGACGAAGGTCTGCCTGTCCGAAACACATTGGCATGTTTTTAATACATTAGCCATGTCACAACAAAGGCTTTTTAGTATAATGTGTTCTCTTTTTGTTTGCTTTTCCTGGATCCCCTGACTGATGAGCACCTGAGGGATACTCCTTTTTGCCACACCAAGCAGCACTCCATGCTCTGCTTCTTTTCACAGTAAAATACTGTTTATTCTCTTTATTGTATTTTCACAGTTTAAGAAACCAAATGTTTTCGACCTCACTTTCACAAGACAAAGGGAAGCATCAACTCTTCAATATCAGATGACTGGGATCAAATTAAAACTGCTCTGAAAAAAATTTAAAAAATTAAAAAAAATTAAAAAACTCTTTAGTTATCATTCCACTATCTAATCTTTTTCAAATCTCTGCTGCCTGTTAGTTTATGGATGAAGCTTAAACTTCAAGCTTTGGATCAAACTGCTGAAGAGGTATTTGGTTAAAAACTCTGGCAAAGAAGCCCTTCATGTTTAGAAATCAGTTCAGCTGCACAAACTTCCTATAAGTCAATAATATAAAGATGAAATAAAAGATTAAAACAGAATTCTACTGTAAGGTCACAAATGTAACACTATCCATTGAAAACAAATGCGATAATTTAAAATTAAGTTAGACCTTTAAACTTGTTATACATTTGCAGAAAAATGCGCGATTTGATTTATTTAACATAGAACAAAACATAAAATATTGTCCTTCATTTTGCTTTTTTGCTTTTTTTTTGCTTATATTAAAATGTTTATATATTTTTTGATTGTAGTTTTTAAGATTATTTTTCAATTGGTGTTGTACTCTGTTAAATAAATATAAAAAATATATTAAATATCAAACTGTTAAACCATGTTTCTTACTTTACTATGTCAAAAGACAATCGGTCAGGCATAATTTTAACTCAGAGATACAAAAACTTAAATGGTCAAATTTTAATTCCAGACAAGCTCTCTTCTGTATTCATGTTTTAACAGCCTAACAAGCAGAGCTCTAAAACAGCATATGATGACCTGAAACTAAAAGCATCTTGGAGACAGGACTACTTTACAAACATACTGTCAAGCAGGATAACTTCATAATTCAGCTGTGGTTTAATTAACATCAGAATCATGTATAAAGCCTCCTGTAACCACTACATCATCAGATCTGTCACATCTGTACACCACAAAACCTTACAGGGCGTTCAAGTGCAAAAGGATTTCTACTTCCTCTCTGGCTTTCCCTCCTCTGAACAAGTGACCAATGTTAGACCAAACATGGTCCAACATGATGAGACAGCAACCCAAGTACTGAAACTACTTAAGCAACACACAGACCGAGTTGATCTGTCTTTCACTATATCTTCAGTTGCTCCTAAATATATAAAAATATGTGAGTTAAATACACAACAAAAGAAATAAGAGACAAACCACAAATTTTCCCCCGGATTGTTTTCATCAACAGAGTGATCAGTCATCACCTGGACAGAGGAAAAGGAAGCAGAAGGGTTACCTACATGGCCCTTATCATCCATCTCGTTGTTGGTGAGTTTGACCCGGTCAAAGCTGACGACCTGACGCATCCACGTCTCTCCTGCGCACGGAGAGTCCGGGTGCACGTACAGCCGAGGAGAGATGCAGGAGTGGTCAGTGTTTCCAGCCACCATCCACTGCGAGCTGTGGTACACATACCTGATAGGGGATAAATGTCAGTATACACAAAAAGAGATTTTCATCAGATTAATAAACAAAAGGACAAAAACACACCTGTAGCGTTTGGAGTCCACGGGCATTACATCCATCGCGATGTAATACTGCTGGCACGGGTCCAGGTTGCGCACTTTTACGCGCACAGAGGGAAACATTCTCCTAAAAGAGGCGAGAGAAGATGCAGTTTTATTAGAAACAGAGCTGGCTCATGTTTTATCCTCTGTAATGAAATCTGTTCAAAAATATTTTTAAAACGAGTGGAGGAGTTTTCAGTCGGCGTGGATTTGACATCATGAAACAGTCAGAAAGAGTTCAGGAACAGCAACTTGAGGCAGAAACTTTACTGCCCAAAGCGGCCAAGTTCAGAGGAAAGTTCAGGGGCCTCGGGGGGCCAAGAGGGCATCTTCACTGCTGAGATTTATAGCGTGTGTTCTCCGTAATTGAATAAACGGAACTGAGATTTCAGCAAGTAGTTATGTCCCAATAACTCATTTCTGGAGAGAAAAAAAGAGAGAGAAGAACGCACACAGTAACCTATCAGACCGATTGAATTTCTTTGAAATCGAAAGATAAAGAAAATCAAATTGACCAAGAATGTCTTGGTGTCACAAGATTTCAATAAATTGATTACATAAAATACGTCTGAAGGCAGCGCAGAATACGGACTAATTCACTTCGACAAAATTGGATCACTTCTCAATTTTCAGTTTTGCACAAAATCTTCAAATTTGCCTCTGTCTTTCTAGAGCCTACTTCAAAACAACTGAACGAGAAGCATGAAATGTTGCTCATATAATATTTTTTATTGACCAAATCGCGTGAGAAAGTAAACGGACGTCAAAACCTGATTTATTTACCGACATGAGTTGATTTGGTTTAAAAATGGACATCATAGATTGTCCTATTTTGTTCTGGTGCACATTTCTCATCTGCTGCAGCGCGTTCACGGACATTTCTCTTCTGGTAAGGCGCACCTGTGAGTGCAGAAGAGTTCATCTAAATATATCATGTTTGGTGTCGTGACAATGACAACTACAGTATTATTCACTCCAAACAGAAAACAGAGGGCGAGAATTTACGTGTTCAACTAACAGATTCCAGTCTAAAGTCTGATTGGGGAATTAAAAATCGTCTCTATTTGAGTCCTGGTTGCAAAATGAGGCCTGAATTTATTATGTCTTGAAATTTAAATTTTAAATATTGACAGGAAGTTTAGAGATTTGTCAACATTTAAAAATCCGGCTTTGTTCCAAATCATATAATGTTGTTTTTTTCCGTTTTAATTTATTGTTTTATATTAGATATATAAATATAGGCTTCTTGTGCATTTATTATCTGTTAGATTATTACAGGATATTTTTAAACAGATTCTGACCTTGGTGCTGGGTTAGTTATACGTAAAAAGCACGGTTTTAAATTGGAATCCAGGAGCGTAAGTCCTCTGTGTTATCTTTTGTCTTTCTTACCTGCCGGCCTTCGTGATGATCATCTCAGTCCCGATCTCGTAGAACCTCTTCCACAGCTCGGAGCCCTGCAGATCCACCCGGACCTCTGATCTGTCCGCACGGCAGCTTCTCTCCTTCGGCTTGCTCTCCTCTCCGCTATGCTCACACTCCTCAGCCGGTGATCTGACGGTCTGTCTCTCCGGGTCACAGGGAGCGTCTTCGGTCCTCCTCGGTGATGTACCTGCTTTCTTCGTCTGGCTGACTGGATGGTCACTCAGGCCTAAGAAAACGACAAACAGAAATTCCCACGTTTCTATTTCTAGAAATAGTGTAAAGGTCATTTAACAGCTTTTGTTTTTCGTTTATAAAAGCTGTCATCTATTTTAAAAAACGTTTGAAGTTTGACATTTATAACACTTTTAATGTTTTCATTATTATTCAATGTAAATTATTGCAAGGCCTACTTGGAATATGAGCTTAACAATCAAGTGTAAATAGTGATGCTAACAGGTTTTTATATAGTTGGAAACAACTTGTAAACTCGCTGTTCATTGTTTTTACACAGTGCGTAAAATGCGCAAATACTAAAACGATTTCTTTTTTGGAAATCCTTCTTGTCCTTTCTCCTCACCACTGAAGATGCTCGTGTCACTTCCAGTGTCTCCGGTTGACTCGTGCTCCTCCGACACTTTCATCCTTTTGCAGGGTTTCCCCACCAGCGCTTCCACAGAGAACGCGTGAGCCCGGGAGCTCAGACCCTGCATCTTCGCGTAAGATCCCGTCGTTTTGAGGGTTTTATATCCGCTTTAACTCTAACTCCCGCAAAAGTTTCAGTGTCCCAATTCATTCAGGGCAGTGAGTAGAACGGGCAGCAGCACCTCGGGGAGCCCTTCTTCTCTTACAGCGGCTCCGTGACGCTGCGTAATTGAACCGGTGCCTTCCCATGTGTTCTGAGAGACGCGCGCCTTCATCCAAAAACTTGATTATTGGCACGCCTCTTGCCCCCCACTACAATATTTTCCTCTCTCCCCCTTTAACAGTTTCTGTGTCTCTCCTTTCCTCTGCGTCTCACAGAGGGCTTGTTCCTCTGCTTCCCCTCAGCGCGTCACTGAGAGGGAGGGCAAAGCGCACTGTGCATTCCTATACATGGGCCTGCGCTGCAAAAAATATCCAGCCAAGCAAGTCTGGTCTCAAATCCCTGTTTCCCCAGACAACTGAAAATAGTTAATATTTGTCAGCCAAGGGATTTAAAAACTATTTTCTCTGCAGCAATCAAGTGATTTTTCTCCTTGGACAAGTAACTTCAAAACGATCCAAAATGAGTCAGTCTATCGGCATCAACAGGTGTATTTTGGGTCAAAGAGGATACTCGAATCACTCTGTTTTCAAGGCAACAGATGAATTAGTACAACAACTAGCAAATTCGAGCTAGAAAAAGTCATGACCTTCAGCAAAGCACAGCTTTTCTTTTGTGTTCGCTTGTTTTAGTGTCCTTGGAACATCCAACATACACGGCATCATTACGCCACTCAAGGAGGGTGACGAAAGTTATGGCAGATACATTTCCGTCTAAGAGTTTTACACACTTTAAACCATAATGTAGTTTCACTGAATGGAAAATTAAAAGTGAGAATTGTGGGATATAAAACGATAACTACAAAGTCAGAAAATAAAGATTTCTGTCTCCAATGAATCACTTCAATTCCATGAAGCTCATTTTCTGCCGTTCCTCGAGCACAGACGCGCCTTATAATTGGCCTGTGTGTTTTCCATGCTGCTTCCTTCCATTTAGACATTCAATAGATAAATAAAAAGAACATTTCAGAGCTCTGGAGGGAGAGTCCAGGCACAAATATTTAACTCTTTTAATTTGGACCATCTGGACGGTAAAATATCTCCATGAAACTTGCTGCATTCTGTTGAAACTTACATTTCCTATATTAATTTGAAGGCTTTCCTGAAAGTGCTCTCTTGTCTCCCGTCCCACCGGCTCTGAAGTGGGATTTTTTTTTTCTTGTCTCTGCGGTGCCCGGTGAGGGTGTGCGCCAGTCTGGTTCTCATAAGGGCGCAGATCAGATGGAGTTCGGTGCACAGGGGGGGAAACCGGGCCGTAATGACAGCTTGGGATTATTACATTACTGCTCGACATGAAATAGATCCGCTTTACACAAATAAAAGTCAGCGAAGGCTCTATTTAAAATGTTTTTAATCACATGATATAATTGCTGTGAGGAGAAAACAAATGAGGGTTGTGTTTACGGCACGGTTGGTTTGGATGGTGATGGAAATCTCTGACAACAGCCGGGAAATGGAGAACTATGACCAACCGGAATCACATGCTCTCTGTCATCAGAACCTGTTTTGGAACTCCGGCCTGGATTTGTGTTTATTCTTTCTTAACGTGCCGTCCTTCCTCCGCGCGTAAATGCGCACTGCTGCAGCATGCCATTGATATAAAACAATTGATATAGAACTAAACCGGAGTACGATGAATTCAATAGATTATTTTCCCAATATCTTAAACAGCAGTCAGCCAGTAAACCGTCGTCACATGATAATACTTTTCAGCCGAAGTGATGATGAGCGTTTATGGCCCAGTGAAGACAACAGGAAGCTGCTCCTCGAAGGTTTGTGACTCTTGATCCAGTGCAAATCTGTTTTTGTCCCATTCAGGGATGTTTGGCACACATGTTTCCTCTTATTAGGCGCAATACTCGCGCTTGGCGGAAACAAGAGACTTGAATCCAATTTAGCACGGGCCTCGGGTTTCCATTAATGCGGAAGTCTGATGATCAGCTGCAATTAGGCTTTCCGATCATTTTGCGCCTTCAGGCTCGCTGGCATGCTGTTGATTTGCGCATTCACGACCTAATGACTGATTATTGGTGAATAATTGGTTTTGCAATTGAAGCTTCGAGGTGGGCCATATAAAGCATTAAGAGTAACACATTAATCACAAAAGTATATATCTTAATTTACTGTTTTTTTTTCTTCTTTAAATTAAATCGTTTTCTTAAATTTGAGCTCAGCCACTTGGTTCTGACATTCATCAAGTCCAGATTCCACTCCATGAGTGACAAACTTCAATGTGTGTGTTATAGTGTGAGTGTGTAGCTGAGGTTGGTGCCAAAGCGGTAATCACGGGCAGCTTTACACTCATGTTAGGCGTCTGTCTGAACTGTGTGTGCACAAATTAATGCGCGCATGTGTGTGTGTTTATAAACAGGCCTTTCTGTCTGTTGCTCAGAGCTGAGTGAATGTGACGGCTCCTGATGGTTTGTTTTAAGTTGGATCCTGATGCTGAGCAGCTAGTTAGTGTGTTTGTGAGTGCGCGCACCCGTGTGTGTTGAGGGTTATTCTGGGCACGGGCTGCTGGAGCGGATGCCCTCTCGCTGCCAAACGTCAAACTTCCACCACCCGTCCACAGTGACATATGCGGAGTGTTTGAATTGTGAACGCTGTACACACTTAGTCTACCGTGGCACTAATGAGAAGTGAGTTTTGTGTATTTGACATGAATGAGGGCCCACCTGCAGAAATACACACTCTGTATGAGACAATGATGTGCTAATTGTTTCCAACACTGGTTACTTCAAGTTTTACTGTAAGCTCTCATTTAAACCCAGGATTAAAGGGGATCTCTGTTGTTTACACATGCTGGCGCTGACCTCTTTTCCATTATTTCTACTTTACAGGGCCAAACATCCTGAGCTGTGGTCAGAAGAAGAAGAAGAAGAAGAAGAAGAAGGAAAAGAAGAAGAAGAAGAAACACAATCAAAGCTTTTTACAACATGGACAATTACACAGTGACAAATTCCTCCAACCCTGACATGTCATCAGCTCTGTGTTGTGTGTCTGAGGATGTGTGTGTGTGTAGTGTCACATCTGCTACTCATAACCTCCTCCTCCTCCTCGCCCCTCAGCTGTCTGGGGTCCAGAGTGTCTCTCAGACAAGAGTCTCTGATGGCTTCTGTTTCTGCAGCTTTATAAAAGTATGGTTTTATCCTAGCCCTCTCCTTTAGTGAGATACGTCTCTGAGAGTTTATGTTGAATAAGACCTGACTGCCCCGATGGACCACCTGAACCACGCAATAGACACAGGTTAATGCTGCAGGGGGATTATAATATAAACACTTTCACAGAATAAATTCTAAGTCTCTTCTGCCTCTTCAAATTTTATGTCCCTACAGATTAGTGTGGTTCAAAATGCTTCACAGGTGAATAAAGCAAAAGGGCTAATAACAAAAGAGACTTGCTTTCACTCATAAAGATCAAGAAGAGACTAATAAAAAGGATTTTAAAAACACATTTAAAGCTCCTGTGAGGAACTTTCAGTATGTGTCAATTTTGGCGCCCCCTGTGGACAAAGCAGGTCATGCTGGTCTGGTCCTTTACATGCTGAAACAGTGTCTTATCCTGCTGATTTTTGACCTGCAAATGTTTGACTAATTATGTCATAATTTTATGTGGAAATAGAGAAGAATAAAAACACCTACTCCCTCGTTCAACTTTTTTTTTTCTTTTTTAAATTTAGGCCATTATACACCATTTTAAATAGTACTGATAAATATTTCAATACATTTCTACCAAGACTGTGAATTGTCACTAAATGCTACTCCCAGTACCTTTAAAAAGTGCACAGCTGTGATTGGTGAGGCCTCATAACTGTGGGAAAAATGGTCATAGCATAGACTATATATAGAATAAACACAGTCTGCCTCCTTGCTGGGTGAAGCCATTGCAAGAACAGCACCCTCCAGTGACGGGCTGCAGTATAGGTCATAAATCCCGCCTCCTCCAGCAATCCCTTTGGAGCTTCAGACAAAATGTATAAATTTATTACACAGAATATAAATTTTTCTCCCCCCTGCTTGAGATGTTGACATGTAGTTACTGTAAGACTGGTTTGTGCTCAAGTCCTCTTTTTTCTGTGAAGCTCAGTTTTTAAAAGTTATTAGGGAGTTCATGTTTTCTATGATTGACACTTGATACAGCCTATGGGCGTACGAAGAGTGGGATACGTTGTTTGAGCCGAGTGTCATCACAGCGACTCTCGGCGACTCTTCCACAACGCTACTGCGCAATGTTGGTTTCAGGAAGTGGAGAAAAAAACCCAGAAATACCGATTCTGCCACTTGGCTGCCTGGGTGATGAGTGGGTTTGATGAATGCTTTCTTTTAGGTCAAGATTTCTCTGATAAGTTTTGTATTTTGTTGCAGCCGACTTAATTCAGCTTTAAAATAGTCCAGCTTCAAACAGATAAACATGCTGAGCTGGAGAGGACCTTTCCCCTCCTTCTGCGCAGCACCTCTGCACTCTGGGTCGCTGTGTTGGCAGCATGTGAGGCGCCCGGGCATGAGGCCTGGTACTACCGCCTTCCTCCTGCCCACAGTGTAGGAAGATTTAATGGCTCATGTGCCACGGCATCCAGCCTTTACTGGCTCCCTCTGCCTCCGCCTGGCCCTGGTGGGTAACAAGGGATGAGGGCAACAAGAGAAGGAGGAGAGGAGAGTCACATCTCTGCCAAAATGAGGCCTCCTCTGCTCACCACAAGTGTGTTGTGAATTATTTCCTCCCTCTCCTCCCTCTTTCTCTTCCTAAGCCCTGAGTTATCCCTTTGCTATTCACCCTCTTCCTATTAAACACATATAGATCTTCATCTGTCCACAACATGAGGCCACTCTGAGCCTGCTGTGAATCTGGCTACATGGCACATTCGTCTCACTTGTTTAGATAACTAATTCTTTGATGAAAATTGCCCTTT